GAAATCATTTGAATAGCACAAAATAGATCTTCACAGAGAGGGAATCATTTAAGGGAGCCTCTAACTCTTTCTGCAGAGGCCCAGTCCAGGTGTGATGCTAAACAACTTGGCCCAGGTTTAGATGGCTTATTTCTCCCAAGTCTTTTAGCTTATTCAGCTACGTGCACTAAAACCTATGATAGATGATACAGGTTGCAATTTTCCTCTTTCCTTCTCAGTTGGATGCTTTGGCGGATCCTCTCTTGCCAGATACTGCGCACCCAGCAGGGCCTGTACCTGGTGAAGGTGTTGTCACATCTTTACACAGAAATGGGCCATTACAATGAGGATCTCTCAAGCTTGGAATATGCCTGATAACCTTTCACCTTCCAGCTTTGGCTAAGTGTCACTTTAGAGCAGGCGCCCTCAAACTACGGCCCGCTGAGGACATGTATCCCGCCTCCGGGTGTTTTTGCCCCATTTGTTTTTTTACCTCAAAATAAGATATGTGCCGTGTGCATAGGAATTTGTTCATAGTTTTTTTTTAACTATAGTCTGGCCCTCCAACGGGTTTGAGGGACAGTGAACTGGCCCACTGTTTAAAGAGTTTGAGGACCCCTGTCGTAGACTGTCCAACAATGGTTGCAGCAGTATATTGACAGAAAGCTGCTGAGGTTTGGGCTGGATTCAGAGGAGGACGTAGAACAAGGGATATCACTGATGATGTCGGATTGATCTTGGCTCAAAGCAGAAAATACCAGCAAGATGTTTACTTGTGGTTTATTGACTATGCCCAGGCATTCAACTGTGCAGATCCACAATGGACAACCTTGAGAAGAATGGGAATTCCTGAATACTTCATCATGCTCCTGCGGAACTTGAATGGTTCAAGAGGCAGTTGTGCGAACAGAACAAAGGCAGACTTCATGTTTTAAAATCAGGAAGGGTGTGTGTCAAGGTTCTATTGTTTCATGATATTTGTTCAGTTTGTATGCTGAGAAAATAATCAGAGATGTTGGATTATATGAAGAATGTGGCATCAGGATTAAAGGAAAGTTTAGTAACAACCTGTGATATGCAGGTGACACAATCTTGCTTGCTGAAAGCGAGGAGGACTTGAAGCACTTTCTGATGAAGATAGGGATTGCAGCCTTCAGTACGGATTACAAATCGATGTGAAGAAAACCCCAATCCTCACAACTGGACCAAGAGGTAGCATCTTGATAAATGGAGAAAAAGTTGGAATTGTCAAAGATGTTGCCTTGCTTGAATTCACAATCAGTGCTCATGGAAGCAGCAGTCAAGAGATCAAAGGACACATTGTGTCAGGTAAGTCTGCTGCACAAGACCCCATGGAAAAGCAGGGATGTTACTATGGAGGGACAGAGAAGGAGAGAAAGGCCCTCAACAAGATGGACTGACAGTGTGCCCGCAACAGCGGGCTCAGGCACAGGAACAACTGTGAGGATGCTGCGGGCTGGGCATGGGGGCACCCTGAGTTGGGAGGACTGGATGACACCTACCAACAATAGATAGTTACTTACTGCCTCTTTCTTCTTCCCTGTCATCCCGTGGGCCTCTCTATTCACCATTTGGGTCACAAAGGCATCCAATCTGTTCTTTGAACACGTCATCCTATCTTACAGCCTTGACCTGTTATTTCTCAGCCTTCATTTTCAGCTTAAAGACACCTCCTCCATCCAGTAAGCCCTAGAAAGCAGTCCTCTGCCCTCCATTCTCTCTCTCCAAGAATCATGCTGCTCCTCGCCGTAGAACTGACAACATTTGAAATGACTTGTTTGATCACTTACTTCTATCTCCCCTATCAGACTGCAGCCTCCAAGTGAGCAAAGACGGTGTCTGTCTTCTCCCCCATCGGACCACCTCTGTTTTAAACGATGTCTACAATAAATGTTCAATGAACAGCAAGAGTTTCACAAGTAGCTATTGAATGAATGGCTGATAAGTGATTCTGGTATAGGAAAGGGATCGATCATGGAGGACCTTGTTGGTAACAATGAAGAGATTGGGCTGAGTCCTAGGGGCAAGTGGAAATCTCTCAAAGATTTTTAAGCAGGGGACACACATGAGCAGTCTTTGACTACAGAAATATCCCTCCTGCTGTCATATGAAATTGGATTTTGAGAGTAGGGGAAAGAGTAGACTAGAGGCAGTGTGAACTACCAGGAGGTACTTATAAAAAATGGAAGATTTTACTACTCAAAATGTGACTTGTGGGCCAGCAGTCTGGCCATGGCCTAGAAACTTGTTAGAAATACATAATCTCACATCTGCTATATTAGAATATGGATTTCAGCATGATCCCTAGGGGATCATGTGCAGCTCTAGGTGAAAGACAATGAGGGCCTGACCTGCATTTGGGGCCTGGAGAATACAAACGATTCATCAATGTCCTCTGTAAATCCACTATTTCAGAAATGCTTGTGGCATCAAAAGCAAGTCCTATTACGACAAACTATTTCAAAGCGCGGTTCTGTTTTGCATCAGGGAAAGAAGAGAAAGGGCAAGGAGAAAGGTGTGGTGGGCTGAGTTGAGTGGTGCTGAGAGCCTGTTTGACCAGGATGTATGACCTTGGACTGAGTCATAGGACAGACCAGAGTTGAGATGACAAGGATTATCAAGTCTTGTCGCAAAGAAGAGTCAATTATTGTCTTCTTCTTTAATATCTTCCCCAGTATCTAGCACAGTTCTGTCACATAGCAGAAGCACAATTGGTACTTGTTGAATGAACGAAAGAACTAACGAGGCAACAGGCTTGCCCCTAAAGCCCTAAAGCAGAGTCTATGTATCTGAATATATGCCAGGCATACCTTCTTCTTCTGTTAGAAAAATCAATGTGAGTCCAAAAGTAGTTCTACAAAGTGATAGAAGCCCATTTAAAACAAAAACATCAAAATGTAAAGCTATTGTTTCCTAACATATCATCTATATAAGTCTATACACTTCTGAAGGCTGTATTGCCATCTCTTAAACCCTTTCCCAAAGTACACTACACTCTTCCATGTGCACCACAACAAAGGGCAATCCTGGAATCCTCGAGGAACTCAAAGCATGTTCCTTATACATGTCCTTTGAACTCTGGGAACAAAACACTTGAAGGGGCAAGATCAGGGCTGTATGATGGATAGGGTTGGTTGCCCAAATAAATTCTTGTAAGATAGTCTTAGCTCCTTGGCAGAATCAGCAGATGTGTCATTCTGATGGAAGAAATACCTCACCTTGACTTCCCTTGACTTTTTCTCACCAACGCAATTTTCAAATGTCTTCCTAATAAGCCCCCATGATTCTCTTGTCCTTGAGTAAATCTATGAAACTTGTGGGTTCCCCTCAAAGGTCACCATAAAGTTTTGAGCTGACTTCTCTGTCTGAAATTTAATTGGTCCAGTCTAGCCCTTCAGAAACTATTGTTTGGATTGAACCAGTTTTTTGAAGACAACCTAAAGAGACTAAGATGAGTTTATCATTGAAAGACTGGCTGCAGAGACAGATTTAAACACATTTTATTTTGAATAAACCCATGCATATAGAAACTAAAATCCTGGTAGCGATACTTTCTTACGATTCCTTTTCCTTGAAAATCTAAGAAGATCAAATTCTACATTCAATGACAAAAATATTTGACCCATGCAACACAGAATCAAGAAGGAAGAGTACCCACCGCTCAGAAGAACTCGAAGGAAAACAGGCGGGGAAAAGCCCAAGTGTGTGAGGGTCAGGATGACGATCACCAAGAACAGTAACTGTCAGCAGTCTGTGTCGCGAGAAGGAGACAGAGAAGAAGCTCCAGCCCAAAGACCCAAGCCTCTGGTCCTGCAGCGTGATATGGCAATGTCCTTGCAGTGTCACTGGAACAGCTCTCTCAACCACAGATTCTAGTCACCAGAAACAAGACAGACTGCAGGACACAGGGAGGGACAGAGCCCGGCTTTGCTACCCTGCTCCCCCTCCTGCCTGCGCCACCCCCTAGCCATCTCTTACAGAAAACTCCTAAGGCAACACCAACCCCCCCTTTGCTGATCGTTGGGCGCTAGGAAGGCACTTTCTTTACATTTGTTGAGTCAAAGTATGAAGAGACAAGCTTTCATGATTCTGTGGTTTCCCTTTCTTTAATCCATTTGCCCATGAAATGAGCCCATTCCAAGCACAAATGGTCAACCCCATATACCACCTACTTCCTACTCCTTCCACCTAATCCCAGCCTCCCAGCTTGCCTGTATCTTCCCTAAGATTAAATGCCCTCACCCCTGGGAAGACTCTCCTCATTCCTCCAATAAGCATATATTCATTTTACTCTTGGTTTCTTTTTCTATGAAGCCATTTTTATCTCCATTGGTTTGAATTAAAATGATCTATCGCCATGCTTGACACTCCCTCAGAAAGAACAGCACACTTATCCCTGCAGTGTCAGGGCCCGCTGCAGTACAGGGTACACTCTAAATAGATAGTAAATCCAGATGAAATGTCTGCTCGTATCATACACCTTTCCATCTGCTGCTCATACAAAAGGACCCTGGGACTGGCTGCCTTCTTTGTGCCCAATGAGTTGATATTCATTATTTTAGAAATTTCACTGACTCACTGAACTGTATCTGAAATCCCCATTTCAATATTCACCGTGCTCCTGTGGTCATTCACACGTAGGGTCATGTAGAATGTGTGTTCCCAGCTGAAGTTGAATGAAGCTCGTCCCATATTTGTGAATTCAGTGTTCTCATCCAAAAACACATGGAGACTCAAGAGTGCCTGTGCATTGTGAGCATCTTGTTATGTCGCTTTCTCCAAGAAGCTCTTCACCACGCTCAGATTTGCCCGCCTCCCCTAAATCCTGAGCAATCCCCTTGCACAGGACATAACATTTGTGTTTTGCATGTTTCTGAGATCAGACGTTTTCGCTGAGCCTGCTCACATGGTAGTTTCTCTTGGGCAGGACTTGGGGACCCAGTTTTCAGAAAAAGTAGACACAGCATTTTTAACAAGAAAAGACAACAAAGTAGACTGACCTTGGACGTATAGGTGTGACCATCAGAACCGCAGACCATGGTTGACTGGGCCATGGGGCAGGGCTTGCACTTAACCAAATTTGAAGTTCCAACCCAGTGTTTGTGGGCCACATTTCCCTTCTTTTGCCTAAGGGTGGTAAAAAAAGGGGGGGTATAAATTAATTGAAACACCCATTCCCACAAATCTTTCCTCCAGGCCTCTGGAATAAAAAAGGTCAAAGACATAAATTAGAACCGGTTGTCATTAAATCAAGCCCAACTCGTGGTGACCCCATGTGTGTCAGGGTAGAACTAGCCTCCATATGCCAATGGTGAACTTTTGGGAGTAGGTGACCAGGCTACTGGGTAGACAGGACGCTCCCACCTTTTGTTTCACAGCTAAGCATAGCAATTGTTTGTACCACTCACTCACTCATACACTCACTGCCGTCGAGTTGATGCCAACTCCTAGTGGTCCTAAAGAACGGTGTAGAACTTCCCTGTGAATTTCCAAAAGCATAACTGCTTCTGGGAATGGAAAGGTTCATCTTTCCCCCTTGCACCACTCAGGGACTCCAAATAAATAACACAGAGGGTTGGTCAAATAGGCGGCGATTCCTAACGGCACCTTCTGTTCGAACTCATTCAAGGAGGTGAGGATTTTATTTCAGAGCCCTAGGTTTGATCCACCAGAGAGATCAAAGAAAATAATGTAGCTATCAACATTACTATAAACCATTACTTATTGACATAGAAAGACATCATATTACATTTTTAAAGCTTGGATGATGGTAAATCAATGTCACTACCTGGTACAGTGGTAGTGTATACAAAGCAGTGTATACCAGACCCAGAGAACAGCAGCTCAGAGTTTAGGACTCTTCTGGGGCTCAGGAAGTTCTGATAGGCAGCCGTCTCTATGGACGACACACATATGACTCAGAAAGCAATTCAGATAGGAAAGTATCTCCAAACACAACCGGACGATTTTATCACTGCTCTGGAAAAAACTGTCTCTGGTTACATTGTAAAGCAATTTCAGTCCAGCTTCCAATTTGCCAATCGACAGAGGCTCAGAGGTGATGTCACTCTCAACTCTAAAATAATCAGAATTCTACTCTTTCATTGCTGCTTGAGTCTCCCCCCATTCTAACCTTTGTCATAATGACAAATGGCGCTATTAGGATGGCTTGTGTCCACAGAAGGAACCCCATCAGAGTATCATAAACCACTGAAATAAAGGCCTGCAGTTACTGCCCCCCTTTTCTCTCTTAGTCAAAGCTGCTTTCCCAACAAGTACATGCAGTGACTGTCGGGGCCATAGGACTGAGTTCCAGGTGGAGGACAGGTATCTCTGGGCAAGCCCATCAATCAGGTGATTATTGTGCCCCTGAGATGTTCCAAACTGATGGTAATGTTTGGTTCGGAAATCAGAAACACACATTCAAATCTCAGCTCCACCACTTCTTTTCTGTTGCAACCCAGGCAGGATATCAAACCCTGTAATTCTGTTTCATCTTTTATAAAATGAAAGAAAATAGCATCTATTTCCAACAGATGGTATGAGAATTAAATGAGCCAATGTAAGTAGAGTCCTCAGTATAAATCAAACCACACCTTTGCTGTGCAGTCAATTCTGACTCTCTGCGATTTTATAGGACAGAGTAGAACTGTGTTTAGGAGGCTGTAAATCTTTATAGAAGGTGACTCCCTCATCCTTCTCCTGAGGAGCAGCTGGTGGGTTGGAACCACCAACCTTCTGGGTAGTGGCCTTGTACTTTCTTGACCCACTGGGTCACAGGACTCCAGTCCTCATGATGAAGCTTCGGATTATCAGTAAAACTGATAACCATCATTATAAGTCTTATATGTCCCAGTAGATAGGAATATAGAGGGCAAAATTATCATCGCCATAGATATATATGCCTTAATCCTACATCACTACATTTGAAAGAACATTTAACTCCCCAGAAGCACATCATTTGGCCACAAGTAGGAATATGTTTTGCACTGTGTGTAGAATGAATCTCCAACCTGGGAATAATGGTTTTCCATTTGTGGTAACCTCCTCGGTGCCTTAGTGGGTTATCTGTGGGGCTGCTAAACACAAGGTCACCAGTTCAAAACCACCAGATGCTCCTCTGGAGAAAGATGAGTCTCTACTCCTATAAAGAGTTACAGCCTCAGAAACCCACAAGGGGCATTTCACTCTGTCTAGGAGTCGGAATTGACTAGATGGCTATGGGTTGGGTTTGGTTTTGGACCCTCTTCCAAATGAAGAAGAGTGAATAAGAGAGGGAGATGAATAAAGTAAGTTTATTATTTTTCTACCTCACCCCTGCCCTAGCCATTTGTAGGAGGTACTGAGAGGAGAAAGGTGTGTTTTCTAACTGCCTAGTCTTCTAAAGGTGACATCAAAAAAGATTACCATGTACCCACAACACAAGCCTTGGGGCCATGAGGAATCCCAGGCTGCATGGGCCATAGTAATGAAACTTCTCTTACCAAAGAAGCAGAGAAGAAAGGCCTAGATGGTTCTTTTGATAACATTTCATCCAACCCACTCATTTTGCTGGTGAGGGGCCCAAAGAGGGAAAGAGCCTTGTCCAAATTCATGCAGATGGCGATGGGTCTGTCCATGATGACCTTCCCACAGCTGCAGCCAGAGTGCAGGGCTGGAGCGTTCCTCTCTAATCTCTCTCAGTCTCTTTTGGGGTACCTTCCTGTCGATCAGAAGTGTTCTCTCTTCAAGGGCTCCCTGATTCCAAAATAGCAAACCACCTAGCCCTTGCCTTTACTTCTGGGGGGAAAAAATATATAATTTGCGCTTAAAAATGACATGGGCATTATCCTCTTATCCTTTGCTAAACCTATTTTAAACTTTCCAGGTTTATTCTGGACCATCAACAAAGGGACGGGGAGCAGTGGGGCTCCATGAAGCGGATGAGCAGGCCGTCAGCACAGGGTTAATCTTAGAGTACATGATTCCTTCAGCTGAACACTGTGCATTTATCATCATTCACACAGCAGATTGTCTGACACCGATAATGAATCAGCAAATGCAAGCAGAAGTCCCCGCGTCTGGCAGCCCCTCTCCTGGGTCAGTCCCCAGCATGCATGCCCACAGCGGAGGCAATTCTTGTTATGAGTTCCCCAAAAGGGGCTATAAATTCCAAAGAGTGGGCAGCTTTGCTAGAATGGATATAACCACATGCAATGATGCCTGCGAGGAAAGACACCCACGGGGAGCTTAGCCAAAGTCACGGAGGGGAGGAATGAACCCTGCGTCAATGGCTTGGAGGGAGAGATGGAATGAGCCATCAATCACCAGATAATGGCAAGTCATCTCTGTCTCTGGACCTGAACTTCACCATGGAATTAAGTTCACGAAGGAGAATCGAAGAGGTGCAGCTGGCAGGTGCCACTGGTGCCTCAAGAATGTGCAGAGGGCCCCTGTCCGATGGTGCCCAGCCCTCCATGTGCTGACCACTTGCAAGAGCGACACAGCAGACCATTACGAAGCCACAAAATGCCAGAGCCAGAAAATAGCCTAAAACTCAGCTCGTCCAACAACTCAGTCTTACAAATAAGGTGTTGGGGACAGGGATGGAAAGGGTCCTGCAGAATTGTACAGGAGTTACTTGGTAGACATTGTCGTGAGATCCGCTGCACTGGAGCGATTCTAGTTCACTACTTGGCACCTGTGGTTTCATGAGAAGGCAGCCTGGTGACACAGTGGTTGACGTTCTTAGTTGCCAAAAGGACAGCTGTTACATCAGCAGTCCCTCTGAAAGGTGTGGCAGCCTGCTTCCATGGCCTTGGAAATCCTAGGGGGCCCTGTGAGTCAGAATTGACTTGAGAGTGGTGGTTTACATTCATTATCAGCACTTAGTTTTATAAATTAAACTCTTTTAAACAATGTCTCTGGGTCTCCCTTGGTAGGCCCAGCAGACCCAATGTCTGGTGGTCATGGGCTATGCTTTGTGGGGACCTCAGTGAAAAGGCTAAGATGTTTTTGTTTTTCTTGATATTAATGAATGGGGCAAATCCAGGTGTTCCTTACCTCTTAGGGCCTTCATGGAGATCACATGGAAATTGGTGGTTCCTCCAGAGACCAGGTTTTATTAGGGGAATAGAAAATCTAGCAAATCCAAGTATGTGTGAGCCCAGAGAAGCATAACCACCATAGCTACTCTCTGTATATTTCCCAAGATTCAGAGTAAGTCTTAAAGAAACAGCCAACCCAGTTGAGACAAGGAACTAAGGTCACTAACTTGCGATATTTCAAACAGGAAGTCAATGAAGAGTGAAAACCGACCAAGGTATCTTGATAGGATGGCTATGCCTAATGCCACAGGCATTTACCACCTGGGGTTGAGGGCAGATCCTTCCATCAGCTGCTGAGCTCCTACTCCATCCCAGCTTGACTGCTGCTGAGGGGCACCCACACTCCCGACCAGCTAGTATCCCACAGAAAATCCCAACTCTGGTGTCTTAATTCATGGTCTCTATTTTACTTCTCCACTGGATCACTAGGTTATGTTATCCAATTGCAATGGCTCCCTATGTGGGGGGAAAGCTGTTTGCTCCTTAGGCAAACAGGGCCACCACGTTCCGTGGTTCGTGGTCTGTGGGAACACGCTGATGGCTCAGCCATGGGAGCTGATGAAGCCCTGGCTGTCCTGTCTCCACCTGGGATCAATGGACACTTGGCTGCCGCATTCCCTGACTACAGCTGCAGAAGGCATCGGTCTGCAAACTTATCAGTTACTTCATGTGCCCAACCTTGTCCTCCCCTCCTGTCTGCACCCTCAAATAATTATAAGCTGTCCCTTTGTGTAAACCTGTCATGTGTCGCAGGCTATGTGCAGGGAATATATTTAAACCTGCCTTGAATAAAGGACTGAGCCCTGGAGTGTCTACACTGCAGTGTCCCCCGTTGCGGAACTCCTTTTTCTTATCTGTAAGTTTTCTCATTGCAGGTCACGCCCCTTTCTAGAACCCGGTAGATTTTTAAGATAAGAGCTGGTCTCTATCTTATCTTATATGTACAGAATCCCCAGACGAAAGTTGTGATTAAAGAGTTTTTTAAGGAAGTTAATAGGTTGTAATGCTAGTGAGAAATGCTCAGGGTTGGGCTCTTTTTCA